AGATTGTGCCATAATTTATACATTCTTTTGTTTATGGATATTTGACTTGTTTCAAGTTACATATTTAAACACATAAGTGTAGATTAGGTATTGTGTATATATATTGATGTGTTTGTGTGAATATACAAGTTACTAATGTTACTGAAATGAATGTTTTGTTATAAATTTTTTTAAAAGAATGAGTTTCTGGATATTCTATTTGTGATTTTTTTTTTAACCAGGAGCTACAGGACTGTTTTAAATTCATTCATCTGCTTGGGAGGTTTTAGATCACATAAGTAGAATGAATTATTTTCAGTCCCAATCTTGCATGAGAGTTCAGTTGTGACTACAAATGTTCAAGGAAAAAAAAATTCCTTCCATTTAGAGAAAAGACCAAAGCAAATGTTTCTTTGACATTTTCCTTTGAGGGGGCCTTTTGTAAGATGATAAAATCGCTTTTGTTTGATTTGGAAATTTTCACTTAGTAATTAAATTTCTTCACTGGAAAGAGAATTGGTTTATTGACTATCATAAATATCTAATCTGGTCTGCTTTGTAGTTAGCGTTGTAATTCCACTTGACATTTGGAAACCAAGTGGTGTTGCACAAGCAACCTGCTGGCCTTTCCTGCCACATTCCTATAGTCTGTGTCTTAAAACTCTTTTCAAATTTTAAAAATATTTAAAATGCTCCCTGTTGGATTATTAATTACATTTCAAATTCAATTTACAAGACTTCTATGTCAGGGCTGACGCTGTGGTGTAGCAGGTAAAGCCGCTGCCTGCAGTGGCACCCCTTTTGGGCGACAGTTCGAGTCCTGGCTGCTCCACTTCTGATCCAGCTCTCTGCTATCACCTGGGAAAGCAGTAGAAGATGGCCCAAGTACCTGGGGCCCTGCACCTGCGTGGGAGACAGAGAGGAAATTCCTGGCTCCTGGCTTTGAAATGGCCCACGTCTGGCCAATGAGACCATTTAGGGAGTGAACCAGCGGATGAAAGTCTGCTCTGTCTCTCTGCCTCTGCCTCTCTGTAACTCTTTCCAAATAAGTAAATAAATAAATCTTTAAAAAAGAAAGTTTTATGTGGACCAAAAAATCTAGCACATGAAAATATGATCTGAACTTTTAGTAATGTAGCGAAATGTGCTTTGTTCAGTCATGAGTTTCAAAAGAAATTATCCTCTTAAAATTAATCTTTATGCTTATTAATTGTTCTTAGTGAGTCATGTCTATAATAATGCAATATGTTTTAATTTAAGCATTTTAAGGGCTTACAGCAAAAGATGTACAATTTAAAAAACTGTAACATCAGATTGGAATTTTGAAGCATCCTTTTAGTTGCTCGTTACACATCACCCCATGATGTGAGAATGAGGGACCATTAAGTCCTTGCAAGACTTGGAGCTCAAATTCACATGGGTGGTGACTGTGAGACATTCAACACAAGGCAGGAGTCCTGAATACCAGTTGAAATCATTAAGGGAACTTGGTAATACGCATAGAAGGAAAACGGACTTTAGACCAATAGAGCTTCACATCTAAGTACTCCTCACTAGCTATATGATCATATGACATGTTATTAGATCTTCAGTTTTCTTATCTATAAATTAAGGGTGGTAATACTTGTCCCATGGGATATGTGAGAGGATTAGCTAAATTAGTAAACACTGAGAGTCTAGAGTGGAGCCTGGTGACATAGCAGGGTAAGTGATGTGGCACGGTGGATTAAGCTGCCACTTGTGACACTGGCATCCCATATTGGAGTACCCAGTTCACATCCTGGCTGCTCTGCTTCTGATCCAGAACCCCTGCTAATGCCCCCGGGAAAACAGAAGATGGCTCAAGTTCTCAGGCCACTATCATCCATATAGGAGAACAGAATGGAGTTCCTGGCTCCTGTCCTTGGCCTGGCCCACTGGCTATTGCAGCCATCTGGGGGAGAGAACCAATGGGTAGCAGATCTCCCTCTATTTCCATTTCTTCCTCTCTGTGTTGCTGTCTTGCAAATAAATCTTTCAAAAGAATAGTAATATGACTTCCTCAACACAGCAACCAAATCAAATTATTTTTAAACTAGAGAAATAAGAGAATTCATAATACCAAGAGATTTGATGAAGAAAGGTAGATAAATAATTGTTTTTAATAATTGATATTTTGCAGTCATTATAATATAAATAAATTTATTTTGGGGAAGTTATATGTTGGTCAAATTAAGATTAAATATTTCTCAGTGTAATGCAACTACTTCTCTTGGTCAATAAATAATATATCCTTACTTCATTTTGATAAAATATATTTAAATGGCATTAAACATTAAAATGTAAAAAAATTTAAAGACATGAAGATATTGAAAGTAACATGCATGGTTTTTAAAAACAATTTTCATGGAAGGCAGTTTGGCTATGCACAACATAATGTCTGGAAACCACAAACAGATTGATTGATAAGTCTAACAACATAAAAAAATCTTAAAAATTAATACTGCATAGTTAAAGTCCAGAGTCAAGTTAAAAAATGGAAACATTTTTGGCAGCATATATGACAAGAAAATGCCAAGTAGTATCCAAAGAGCTATTACAAATAGATTGAAAAGCACTGATTTAATTTTAAAATTTGCAAAATATTATGAATTAACTTCAGAAAGATAAATGCAAATAAATAATCAATATTTAAAGACATGGTCACCTACATTCAAAAATTTTAGAATGTAAATTAAAGTAATATGATAGCTTTAAACTATCAGAATATTAGATAACACTCATGTGAAATTTCAAAAGCAGGGTCATTAATTCACTTACTGGGAATATAAATTGCTGGAACGAAATTTGGAATGTGTACACCAAAATTTAAAATGAACTAACCTAATGCTATTAATTTATTTACTAAGTGTCTTGGCATACAAACACAAAGTCCTATACACTCAAGAACTTTCATTATGGGATTGTCCGCGAAAACTGTTTTTTTGAAATCCTAGATAAAAATTAAATGTCCGTGATAGGAGAATAATAAAACCAACAAGGCTGACTTAACATGGTATACTATTGACCACTCAACTGAATGGGAGAAAACCATAATGTGCTCATTTTGAATGATTTACAAGTTCTAATTATTATATGCAATGTAATATGTAAGTAGCTTTTATCATTAACCTCATTTACTCAAAGAAAAATAATTAGAAATGTTTGTTTTACTTAATACTATTGGTTGAACTCTTTAATTTACACACGATTATTCTTAAGTGTTTAAATTTACCTGAAAAGTGATCCCTGTTAAATATAAGAGTGGAAATAAGAGAGGGAGGAAATGTACAGTTCAGCACATGCTCAATTGGACTTGCCCCAAATGGTAGAGTTAGAAAAGTGCCAGGGGATTCCAATTCAATCCCATCATGGTGGCATGTACCAATGCCATCTCACTAGTCCAAGTGATCAATTTCAGTTTATAATTGATCATAATGATAGAATTAAGAGTCAAAGGGATTACATAAACAAGACTAGTGTCTGTTAATACTAACTGATAGAATTAAAAAGGGAGAGAATGATCCAACATGGGAAGCGGGATACACAGCAGACTCATAGAATGGCAGTTGTCCTAAACAGCACTCAGACCTCAGAATCAGCCCTTAAGGCATTCGGATCTGGCTAAAAAGCCCATGAGAGATTCACAGGCATGGAAAGCCAAGACACTGTGGCAAAACAAAACAAAACAAAATGACCTAAATGAAAGATCTGTGTGAGTGAGATCCCAGCGGCAAGTAGAGGCCATCAAAGAAGGAGGTACCTTTCTCTGAAGAGAGGAGAGAACTTCCACTTTGACTATGACCTTGTCTAAATAAGATCGGACTTGGCGAACTCAAAAGGCTTCCATAGCCTTGGTAGCTCATGACAAGAGCCTCGGGTGATTACTGATGCCATAAACAAGAGTGTCAATTGTTAAATTAACAACAGGAGTCACTGTGCATGTACTCCCCATGTAGGATCTCTGTTCTTCATGTGTTGTACTATGTGAATTAATGGTATAACTAGTACTCAAACAGTACTTTACACTTTGTGTTTCTGAGTGGGTGCAAACTGTTGAAATCTTTACTTAGTATATACTAAATTGATCTTCTGTATATAAAGATAATTGAAAATGAATCTTGATGTGAATGAGATGGGAGAGGGAGCAGGAGAGGGGAGGGTTGTGGGTGGGAGGGAGGTTATGGGGGGGAAAGCCACTGTAATCCAAAAATTGTACTTGGGAAATTTATATTTATTAAATAAAAGTTAAAAATAAAAAATAAAAAAATAAATGTGCATACTGGATATGTAGCTGAACATTCCTGGAAAGGAGTTTTTCAAAAATGTCAAGAATAGGATTAAGGCTACAAATTTGGACTAGTAGAAATAAGGAAATAATATCCCTTTGTGATTTTCTGAAATACTTGAAATTTCCTCTATTCTCATGCATGTCTTACTTTAATTGGAAGAAAAATAATGCAAGTAGGGGTAGGTGTTTGGTATAGCAGCTAGGACATTGCATGGGCCCTGGACGTCCCAAGTTGTAGGTCTGGTTTCTAGTCCTGGCTCTAATTTGATTATGGCTTCCTGCTTATGCACACCTTGGGAAACTGCAAGTGGTGACTCAAGGGCAGTGGCTTCTGCCATCCATGTGGGAGAACTTGATTGAGTCCCTGGACTCCTAGCTTTGGCCTGGCCCAGCCCCTGATCCCTGATGTTGCCAGAACATGAAGAGTGAGTCAGCAAATGAAAGATTCTCTCTCTCTCTCTCTCTCTCTCTCTCTCTCTCTCTCTCCCTCTGCCTTGTTTTTCTCTACCTTTTAAATAAATAAAAAATAAAATGAATTTATAAAAAATAAGAATATGAAATTAAATTTAATGCCTTTAGGAGCCAGCAGATAATTTCATATATTGAAAAACACATTTGCCTGTGTACTTTTGAAAAGGAACTGTCAAAACTAGACATTCTTGTAATGAAATGATGCATTCATTGATGTCTAATGAGTCTTATTTTCCAACAGACAAAGCCAAAGGAAGATCAAGAGCAGGGACCCACTTTGACTCAGCCCGGAGACGGAGTCGAGCTGTCCTTTATCACATCTCTGGACACCTGCAAAGAAGAGAAAAGAACAAATTGAAAATAAATAATGTAGGTGGTGTGTGTTTACACTACGAATGCTACAGTCTCCCCGGTGGCAATGTTTGATTTGCTAAAGAAAGGCTCCAATTACTCATTTATTGGTTCTCTTGGATTTTTTTCCACTTTGGTTTGTGCTTTCCTCTAAAGAACAAACTGGAAAAGGTCAGCAGTCATGAGGCATTTTCTGTAATAAAAGTGCTTAATCATAACATTATCACAGCATAGAGATTAGAATATTATTGCAGTGCAGTATAAGAATGGTACCTGGGACCTGCAAATAGGGACACAGTGGTTACATTTTATAAAACAAGATGATGCAGCAAGTCATGTTTCACATTCATAGTTTGTTGGATGAAATTTCTCTAATTTAATTTTAGTTCCATCTGTTTTGCACTTAGGTTTCTCTTAATGCTTTTATTCTGAGGGGAGGGGAAGGGCATGAACAAGTCAGTGTAATTATTCCACACAGAACTCTACATTTTATACAAATCACAGCTGAAAAATACACACATTAGAAGCATTAGCCATATATTATCAAGTTTTATAAAATGTTGCACTTTTAGTGAGTGACCATAAGTCTGCTTTCTGAAGACTGTTGCTTATCTGTTCAAAAGCCACAGAGAGTAACTATGGTCATAAACTGTGTTTCTTTGCAGAGTTTTGTATGACACACATCTTTCAAGATTCAACATTTAATGAGTTTTTAGCATTCAGAAACTTCACTTTCATAGAGAAACCCCTAATAATTTCTGTCTAGTTGTAGATGTTCAAAGATAGTCTGTCAAATGATACTAATTACATTAATTTCTGTTGTGGAATTATCAACATATCTCTGGGGATTGTGTGACTATGGGTGGCAGATTGAAGACTTGGAGTCTAACTTGCCAATTACATTAGAAAGAGTTGCATTGAACAGCCAGAGCTACTTTGGAATTAATTAAAAATCCAGAAGCTCTGGGATTTAAGGACACAGTGGGGATTCTTTTGCATTTGATTTTTCACATTGTAAGCTCAAGGGCCACCTAACCTGACACACAAATATTTTGATAAAAATAGCTCATGTATCACAGATGCAAAGTACCCATCTTTCTGATTTAGTAAATAAGGTTATATAAGCCTGTGGTGTGGAGATTTGACATGAATGTATTGCAAACCATGCAGTTCCTTTCTGGAAGCTGAAATAAGGTGCTTTTAGTCCTCTGTACTCCGGGGACCCTCAGCCACGTCCATGCTGGTCTCCTATGCACCGCTGTGGAAAGCCACACACTGCTTTTTAACATCCTTCCTTAACATAAAGATTTTCAAGGGCTATACCTATGCCTTAGTGTCACATAGCTTTGCTGAGAGTCTGGGGAGAGGGGTGAAATGGTTCACAGCTCTCGACAAGCAGGTCTTTCCACTTACTCCTACTTACTTCTCCTTCAGTTACCAAGTCAGCCTTTGTGAAGGTAAACACATTCTAGGAAGAACCAGAAGTGCCCACATCTGGGCTGGAGTTTCTTCACGCAAACCAGCAAAACACCTAAACAAACATTATCTAGGGAGTCTGTGGTGCTGAAAGCTGACGCCATCTTTTAGTGTTTAGCTGAGAATCCTATAAACATAGCAAGTATTAAGCTTTCAGATGCATTTGCTGAGTATGCTATTTCTCTCCTTAGATTAACAAAGTACAAAGCAGTCCTCAAAATTCTGATTTTAGGGGCCAGCACTGTGGTGCAGTGGGTTAAGCCTCTACCTGCAGTGCCAGCATTTGAGTCCTGGCTGCTCCACTTCCCTGCTAATTCTCCTGGGAAAGCATAGAAGATGGCCCAAGTCCCTTGGCCCCTGCACCTACATGGGAGACCTGGAAGAACTTGTGGCTCCTGGCATTTGGCTGATACAATGCTTGCCATTGCAGCCATTTGGCGGGTGAACCAGTGGGTGGAAGATCTTTCTGTCTCTCCTTTTCTCTTTGTAACTATGCCTTTCAAATATATAAATAAATATTTTTTTAAAAAATATGATTTTAAAAGAATCGTAACTCCCACTGCTTAAGTAATTGGCTTAATTGTTGTTTGTTTAAAGTGGATAAATATCGGAGTGGAACATTAAAACAATACATTGTAATTATGGATTCTAATCAATGCAGTGATTCTGATATTACAGGTAATTTCTTGCTTCTGAAGTAAAATGTAGAATGGGTACTGGCTCTGTTCACTTTTTCTTTTCAAGGAGAACAGAGTAGAATGGCTAAAAGACAACAAGAGAGAAGGAACGAAAAGCAAATAATCAGAATAGTTTATTGACTCAGTTATCAATCTTTGAGTATTCTGTCATATTTGTGCAGAAAAAATAATTTTTAATATTTTAAAGCCCTTTCCTTATAACAGATTCCTTTTACTTACATTACATTGTTTGGTTTCCACAGCAACCCAGTACTTGGTATAATTTTTATTGGTCTCATTTTATTAATGGGAAAAATATTATCAGCAGTACTAAAATTAGCAGCAGCAGCTAGGGTACCCAGTCCTAAATTGTCTGATTCAAAGTTGCTGTGTTTTTGCCCCCACCTTGATACTTGTCTGATACAGTTCTCTGAAATAGGAATATGTGCTTGAAACAGACAAATGAATGTATCAGCCCATGAGGAAGGTTTGAGGATCTGGAGGGAACACCTCTCGTCTTGGTTGTAACTTTGCCTCATACATCTTGGAGAAGGTATTCAATTCCTGCATCCCTTGATCTGTTATCTATTAGATGAGAATGGGATGAAGTGCTGTAAAGATCGCATGAGAGTCTTGGGGACTTGGAAAGAAAGAGCTACAAATGCTCTCATATTATAGACCAATACTGTGATAGTGGTCAGCCCGGGCATTACCCAGTGTAGCAACTGAAGAAATAATGTTAATACCTCCTGGGTCCTCATTCAGATGATAGTTTCAAACAATATTGCACAAGTGGTTCAGAAAAGATAACTTTATTTAGGCATTGGAGTTAACTATCAGGTTTCAATAAATGAAACACTAGAGATTAAACAGCTAAGACATGATAGATAATAAGTAAATATATTTCAAAATTAATAAATAATATATACTTAAAATCTACTTTGGTTGGTGGTAGGGTTCTTTAGGCAAACTCCATACATTTGGGGGTTATAAATAGCATGTCATTCCCCCCCACACACACACACTTCCTAATAATAGCACACTTTTTCAGTTGTGTACATTTTCATTTGTTTTCACATCATAAGAAATTATTTCCCTGAATCTTGATGTGAATGGAAGGGGAGAGGGAGTGAGAAAGGGGAGGGTTGTGGGTGGGAGGGACGGTATGGGGGGGAAGCCATTGTAATCCATAAATCGTACTTTGGAAATTTATATTCATTAAATAAAAGTTAAAAAAAATTATTTTCCACTCAAAAGGGTCTTAATACAGCTCCACAAATGTGGTGAGTGAAGAGCACCTACAAGAATACATCAGAAGTTTCACTGAAAATGGAATTAAAAGATGAATTTAATTTGATGCAAAAAAAATTGAAATCATGTCTGCAAGACAGCTTCAAAGATTCGTAGAAAATGTAAATTAAGAAAAAGTGATCATAGATGTCAAGGTGTTTTTGCAGCATAATAAACTTATCGTTCAATTATGTTTTCCATGGACGTTTTGAAGTACTTTCATATTTTTTTTGCTCTGGACTTGGATAAAGACATACAAGATTTGAGTTAGCAGCATTTCAAAATTTAAGTCAAACCTGAAATATATTGAATTATCTGTATCTTTTAAAGATATTTATTTATTTTTTTTTTAATTTTTTGACAGGCAGAGTGGACAGTGAGAGAGAGAGAGAGAGAGAGAGAAAGGTCTTCCTTTGCCGGTGGTTCACCCTCCAATGGCCGCCGTGGCTGGCGCACTGCGGCCGGCGCACCACGCTGATCCGATGGCAGGAGCCAGGTGCTTATCCTGGTCTCCCATGGGGTGCAGGGCCCAAGGACTTGGGCCATCCTCCACTGCACTCCCTGGCCACAGCAGAGAGCTGGCCTGGAAGAGGGGCAACCAGGACAGAATCCGGCGCCCCTACCGGGACTAGAACCCTGTGTGCTGGCGCCACAAGGCGGAAGATTAGCCTAGTGAGCCACGGCACCGGCCTAATGATATTTTAAAGATTTATTTTATATTTATTTATTTAAAAGTCAAAATTACAGAGAGGGAGATACACACACACACACACAGACACACACAGATCTTCCATCTGCTGGGTCACTCCCCCAGATGGCTGATATGGCCAGAGTTGGGTCAGTCTAAAACCAGGAGCCAGGATCTTCATTTTAAATATTTTAAAATAATATGTTTTAATAGTCTGTAAAATTGAAACCAAGTGATTTGTGAGGATGATGAATGTGTTGTATAGCCCAAAGGTAACACCTTTCTTTTTGAGTTTTGCCGATCTTCATTCCTACTTCTAGAACTATTTTCTCCATCAAACAATGTAGAATTTCAATTTCTGTAGTAGAATAGCAAAAAAACACTTGTATAGAAAATGAGCTACTCCATATGGTTTCTAATAACTTCTTATAGTAGTAAATATTTAGGGGAAAGTTATATCAGAATCCATCATGTGCTATTATGACTAGATGTGCTTATCAGCTTTGAGGATATTGATACCAGTAGACACTGACTCTCCCTTCCCAAGCACCATGGTGCCTGAGTTTTGATGAAAAGTCCAACAGGAATACTTTGTCATGTCTCAGTTTTATGCCAAAGTCTAAGCCAGTACCGAGGCAAAGAGTGTATGTCAAACATCAGGGAACTGGATAGAAGAAAGATGCAGTGGAAAAAGAGTATCAAAGGACAGTCTGAGAGTAACAATACACTGCTGCACCATGAAGTACTGGCATTGGGAGGTGGTTGTGTGTTACTGAGTGAAAATGTTAAGAGGAAGGGGAAATGTGTTGGGAATGCCTATCAAAGAGAGATGCCATACAGGAGATGCCATACAGGAGTGCATTAATATTACAGAACAGAACTGAGTATTCTTGATCTCTTCTAATCTTTCTTGAAATCTGAGGGCTCTCAGAACATACCACATAAATGTGCTGTCCCCTCAATGAGTGAGGCAAGTAAATAGCACTGTGACCCACAAATAACATGTATTCCAGAACTTTTAACTGTTCTGTTAATTCAACTTAACTTTCCAATTTGAGTTTCCATTACCTATCTTGTAGTTCTCATTAATTGAGGTCAAAGCAAGGTCTTCAAGTATCTGGTCACAGGCTTGTCAAATTTCCACACATGCTATTGTTGGACCTCCTTTGTCTTGTAGCAATAGAGGAATTTTTCATCAATGTAGAGTACTTTTGAAGTGAAATGCGTTTGCAGTTATCAGAAACTCCAGCTATTCTTCTCCATTTAATCAGCTCCACAGTGAACATTGCCTGTCTCCTTCCATGGTTTAAGCAATAACCTTTAAGTAACTATTCCTCAATTTACCATCTTAACAAGTTCTCCCAAGGTCAGAATGCATCTATGTCAATCAAGGTAATGAAGTTTGGGGTTCTAACTTGAAACTTCACCGATGCGTGTACAATGTGATTATATTTTCAAAGACATGAAAGAGCTGTTTATAATATTGTATTGGTAATCTCTATTCTTTCTAGAAAACATTTGCCACTTTTGCTGGCAGCAGCATAATCTCAGGTCAAATATGTTCTTTGGACAATGATTGTTGTCTGAAAGCCATCAATATACAGAACATCCCCATAGCAATAGGCATGTAAATATATATATGTATGTGTGTGTATATATATATATATACACATACACATGACAGGTAGAGTCACAGACAGTGAGAGAGAAAGACAGAGAGAAAGGTCTTCCTTCCGTTGGTTCACCCCCAAAATGGTTGCTACGGCCGGCGCTGCGCCAATCCAAAGCCAGAAGCCAGGAGCTTCCTCCTGGTCTCTGGTGCAGGTGGAGGCGCCCAAGCACTTGGGCCATCCTCCACTGCCTTCCTGGGCCACAGCAGAGAGCTGGACTGGAAGAGGAGTGTGGGGAGCAACCCGGACTAGACTAAGTTACTGGAATTAAGACTTATTCTATGCATCTGCTCTCCCACAATATGGCGCTGAGAAGGGAGAAACAGCTTCTACACAGCTGCCTCCAGTTCAACCAATAAACTGTAGGACCTGCTCCTGATTGGAGGAGAGCAGCGTACTCGGCGTGTGGGTAGCAGAGTTGGGATTGGTGGAAGAGGACTATAAAGGAGGAGAGAGACAACATGCACCAGGAACATCTAAGGGGAACATCTGAGGGAACACCTGTGCAGCCCCCGAGAGAGCCAGCCGGCAGTGTGCCGCTCCCCTGCGGAAGTGGGGAAAGTGGCCAGGGGGAACCGCCCTTCCACAGAGGTGGAAGGGACGGTAGCCAACCCGGGAAGAACCAGCAGCAAACCCGGGGAGGGCCGAGCAGACAAAAGAGCAGCGCAGGGTCCTGTGTCGTTCCTCCACGAAGACGGGGAGCGACATAATGGTGCCGTGACTCGGATATGAAGCCTAGGCAGGGTTCAGTGTCGTTCCTCCATGAAGAGGGGGAGCGACAAGGAGCATCCGGGACTAGAACCGGTGCCCACATGTGTTGCCTGTGCCTCAGGCGGAGGATTAAGCAAGTGAGCCACGGTGCCAGCCCCCATGTAAATATATTTTTGTGTTTACAATGTGAGTAGAATTATACTTGAAAGTGTAGATATATTTAGGTAGATTTTATATAATGGTCTTAGGGTAATGATCTTTTTGTGTTTTTATGAAAAAAAATTAGATTATTCATTTAATGTGACCAAATACTGTGAATTCTTCGTCATAAAAATGATTTATGCTTAGTTTTAATACAATCATGCCTCATTTCACACCAGGGATATACTCTCAGAAATGTGTTGTTATAGCACCCTTTAGAATGCATTTATACAAACCTAGATAGTATAGATCAATTACTGAACATGGACTCTTGATGCAATCATGAGATGTGGAAACATGAAAGGTGTGAAGAGGCTTTAAGAATGTCATGGAAAATGCATAATTTGCAGAAAATACTACATGGATTTAAAAAGATTGCATCAAAATTAGCATATTTTACTTCCATTTTTACATAACTTTCTTTAATACTCTTGAATGAAGTTGTTGCTACCACAATAAGCATACCATTTTATTGCAATTTTTAATCTGTCATAATATGCCATTTTTTACATTTTACTTATTAATAGAAAGAGAACAAATTTCATGTGTTTCATAGATACAAGTCTAAGAATCATAAATATATATATGTAAGAATATATAGTTTCCTGTTTCTCTCCCTTCCTCCTCCTTTTTTTCTTTCCTTTGTTTCTTTTAATTTTTTGTAATAGCATACTTTTTTTTTGACAGGCAGAGTGGACAGTGAGAGAGAGAGAGACAGAGAGAAACGTCTTCTTTTTGCCTTTGGTTCACCCTCCAATGGCCGCTACGACTGGTGTGCTGCGGCTGGCGCACTGCGCTGATCTGAAGGCAGGAGCCAGGTGCTTATCCTGTTCCCCCATGTGGGGTGCAGGGCCCAAGGACTTGGGCCATCCTCCACTGCACTCCAGGGCCACAGCAGAGAGCTGGCCTGGAAGAGGGACAGAATTCGGTGCCCCGACCGGGACTAGAACCCAGTGTGCTGGCGCCGCAGGCGGAGGATTAGCCTATTGAGCCGCAGCGCCGGCTAATAGCTTACTTTCAATTTACTTTGTAACTACAGGATAATGCTCTTCTAAATAAAGAGTTCTATAAGTCAATAGTAGAGAGCCTACTGTTATGCAGAACTATAGACAAAGGTTATTAATCAAATCAGAGATGTCAATTTTGCTCATATACATTAAGTTTTTTTTTTTTTTGTACTCTATATATTAGTTACCACAAATCAGAGTAAACAAACGATATTTGTCTTTTTTGGGACTGGCTTATTTCAGTAAGCATAATGGTCTCCATATGCAACCTTTTTTGCACAATACATTTCATTCATTTTTATGGCTCAATAGAATTCCATTGTGTGTGTGTGTGTGTGTATGTGTGTGTATCACATTTTCTTTATCCAGTCATCAGTTGAGGACATCTGGGTTGATTTTGTATCTTAACTATTGAGCTGCTATAAACATGGTGATACAGATAACTGTTCATAAGCTGATACCATTTCCTTTGGGTATATTCCCAGAAGTGGGATGGCAAGGCCATCTGGTAGATCTATTTTCAGATTTCTGAGGAATCTCCAAACCATCTTCCATAATGCTTGTACTAGTTTACATTCCCACCAATAGTAGGACTATAATGTAATGACAAAATGTATAGTACAGTTAATGTACAAATCAGTAAGAGTCTCCTACTATCTCTAGGAATGTATAATGTACATATGTAGGTCCTATATTTTATAAGACTGGCAATGCAATTGATTTGTTTACTTCATCAGTACAAGCATGCCAGTGATACATTGCACTATTATGCTATGATGGCTACAATGTCATTAGGTAGTAGGAATTTTTCAGTTCTATCCTAGTCTTATGGAATCATTGTCATACACATGGTTTGTCATTTATAGAAGTATTTTTATCAAGTTCATGGCTATGTATATCTCAACTTCTAAAAGTCACTTGTAAGATACATTGACATCGTATGCACAAGTGATCCTCCTCATGGAAGTGTGTCCAATGTTGTGTAATTCTTGTTTCTAATTCTAGGTTTCTCCCTTCTCTCCTCTATGTTTTTATCCACAGAATGTATTTGTAGATAAACCAGCATTTCCGGAGTACAAAGTTTCTGATGCAAAGAAGTCCAAATTCATACTTCTGCATTTTAGCACTTTTAAAGCTGGCTGGGACTGGCTTATTCTGTTGGCAACGTTCTATGTTGCTGTGACTGTACCTTACAACGTTTGCTTTATTGGCAATGATGACCTGTCCACCACCCGGAGCACGACTGTCAGTGACATTGCAGTGGAGATTCTGTTCATTATAGGTAAGAACCAATAGTCCTTTTCCCTGGAGGTTGGTGTAGGGGAAGTAAGAGTTCCAGATTTTCCAACATGAATTTGAACTAAGAATTATGTCCATAAGTATGTTTCAGCCAGAGATTCAAAGTTTGGAGAATTTCATACTTGGATTTCTAGAAATTGCATCTTTCATGTCCACTGTTTCTGCATTCAAACAGGTCTAATCAGATTTCTGTGTTTCTATTTGTATTTGGCAGGAAAGAATGAACTAAAAATACCTAATAACTGTTTACTTTGTACTCTCAGATCCTTCAAGATCTTAATTATGTAGAGTCAGAGATGGGGCTTGGCAAGACTCCCCCAGTGGTGTCCTGACAGTGCCCAAGCCGGTACAGGGTTTTCTTCCTGCCCTTCCATGACCTAGCATAGCAACATGTTGATGGTGGTTTCAGTAAATGTCCTGGTTGTATAAGCAAAGGTTCCAGTCAATCAGGGGAAGCAGTGAGTAAATGACTTCAATTAAATAACAAGCTTCAAGGGATGTTTGCTACAAGAGTTTATCTTCAGATTACTGCAAACTTTGTTGGTGTACAAGTGTTCCAGTCTTATAAGCTTTGTCCTACTTCCCTATCCCTTAAACCTCTGTCCTGCATGGACCAAAGCCTGGCTATTGTCTGCTGATCTAGCGTGAACTCTAAGCTTAGATTCACCTCTTGTCACGTCTTGGCCATCATTAATAACTGTTGCTTCCTTCTTACCTGATCACGGCGATATAGAGCAACTTGTTTGTTGTAAAGATGATAGAACTTTTGGAAAATATTTTCAAGCAAGTGGGTGAACAAAGGAATGAGGAATTGATTTCAAAAGTTTGAAAGTGGACTGACACAGTGGCACAGTGGATAAAGCCACTGCCTGCAGTGCTGGCATCCCATATGGGCACCCATTAGAGTCCTGGCTGCTCCACTTCTGATTCAGCTCCCTGCTAATGCACCTGGAAAGGCAACGGGGTATGGCCCAAGTGTTTGGGCCCCTGCATCTATGTGGGAAACCCAGATGAAGCTTCTGGTACCTGGCTGCAGCCTGACCCAGCCCTGGTCAATGTGGCCATTTGGGGAGTGAACCGGTGAATGGAAGATCTCTCTCCTCTCTCTATCCCTGTCTCTTCCTCTCTCCCTGTAACTCTGACTTTCAAAGAAATAAGTAAAAAAGTTTTTAAAAAATAGTTCAAAGGAAAGTACATAAATAATGAGACTGATTGAACCCTGTTTCAATGGTGGTAGTAGGTTTTTTTTTCTGTTAAAACTTTGGGGCATGAGTGAGTTCTCGAGCCAGCTGTCAGCACATGTTTGCTCTGTATGCATTCGTCTGCTGCTAGTGTTGCTTTGACATCATTGTTAACATTCCATTTGCTGGGCAGACCCCCCAGAACCTCCTCAGTACCCTTGCTCCTACCCCAAAACTTGTGACTGTAATATGCCTAGGCCACTAGATGGCAATGTTGTCTAGTTAGGTGGCTCAATAGGCTGCATACCCAAAGAAATTTATCACATGTTCTTTATCAGCAAAGCATAACCTTGGGGGGCTGTTAAATAGCAAATAAAAACTTTCCAGTGTGAACAAGAACTTAAAATGCAAATCGTAGACAAATTGGGTGTGTCTATATGCCAATTCATTGTGGTTTTTATTGTGTTACTTTGCCAAACTCTTCTGTCCCTTCCAACTCATCCCTGATGCCATGTCTGTTAGCATCCTAAAATATTTTCATGAGCTGTGCAAAGTTCTCCAGAACTTCAGTAATCATTCAACATGTCTCAGTCTCAGGGTTTTTTTTTTTTTTTCCTGTGTGATAACAATTTCATAGGGCTTCATGAAATAATGGTTGCAAATATCTGCTTAACAACTATTTCTTCATCTGTTTTATTTACAACTGTTATTGGAAGAAGGTTGTATCATGAACTTTCTTTTCCATTCTTCCTGATGCTTATATACTTGAAATGCCATGGGCTAGAAGCCAATTCTGGTACTCAATGTTCATTAGCAGATGACAACTTTTTTACCCCATGAAAACCCGTAGATACAGCAGAGATATGTTATATTTTTGGTTTTTTGTTTCTACTAATGATGTTTTCCTCTACTAAACCAATGGAGATTGCTTTCTTTCATGAACATTGCCCCTAACATTTGTGTTTTTCTTGTTGTCATTTCTCCTGCTTTAGGCAGCAAGATTGATTCACCCAATAGGCAAAACGTATCCATTACTCATGACATACCAAAGGAATGGAATCCTATTGCTGTTTTCTATAAAGATTGCTTAAGAATTTCTGATTTTGGTCTTTGGTAGTTTTAGTGTGACTTGTCTGGAATCAATTATTGACTGATTTATTTCTATAAGCTGTAACAACGTCCCTGCATTTACGTACTGTCATCTTTCTGTTCTTTCTCCCTTTAAATGAACTTAAGTTCATCTATGTTTTATTTTAACGAGTTTTAAAAAACAGTTTAAAGGAATATTTTGATGTACATTTTCCTGAATTTTTATTCTGTGAAATATTTCAGAGCAGTGGCCTAAAAATTATCATTAATAAGTTCAAATATCAGGAATAAAAAAGTACATTGCCTGCAATATTGTATCTTTACAGTGCAAAGATAGTGATTGTGCCAATTAATATTTGTTAAATTAGTAGATGTAAAATCTATTTGCATATTGGACATGCTATTTCTTTATGTAGAATATTGTTATTAAATTGACCTTGTATAATCAACTGGATAAGAATCGTTAAAAAGCAATTGGAAAAGGAGAGTTTTTATACAGCTAGAACATGGTATTTTAAAAAGCAATTTGTTATTTTTACCAACAATATGCAAATATAAGCTAGTGTGATTATTTATTCTTAATGGAGAAGAATTAAATGTTTCATGGAAAAAGGGTTCATAGTCAAAATTAAAGTTGGGAGAGGACATATGCCTTTCAGAGACCAACAATCACTTGAGCATTGTAAATCCTCTAAGAAGTTAAGTGATAAAGAAATCTCTTTAAATGGGATTATCTAGCACCTTGCAAATTTATTTTTACCTCAGAACTTGTGCCCCCCACCCCGGCCTTTCATAATTCTCTTTTGGGAAGACTAACTTAAAAATGTTCTTTCCAAATAAAATCACTATAAAGAAAGTGTCTAAATGTAAAGATGCTAATAGAAACTTAGACTTGAATGGTGAGCTTGAGACTCTTTCGAGTATTCTGTCACTCTTGAATTTTTTGTAAGCCACAGTGATTCTTTGGGCTTCATAGGATATAATGCTTGGCTATGAGTTGCAAAGTTTGGCTATAAAGCCGCCCATAGGTTGGAAATGATCATGAAAACTTAGCTACTGATTAAAAGCCTTATGGAAACTTAAAATGAGAAGTTCCTTAATGGCCTCTTATCTAATGCACTGTTTTCTTATTTCATAAGTAGGAAAACAGCCCAGTGATATGGGCCAGACCCCACAACTGACTAATGGCAAGTGAAGCCTCCTGGTTGTTGCATCAGGATTCTTGTTTAATAGTTTATGGTCACTAGGTTCCATTTTCTGCAAGATTCCACTGAACCTGCTCCCCACTATTTGTAGCAATGAGGCAGCCAATGAGAAAGAAGAACCAACTACCCTCTCTCTTTTGCATTAACACAGAATTTAAGAGTCGGAATATAGTCTTGGTTGTGAATATCCATGTCTTACCCTCACAACCCTCATTTCTGTACTAAAAGAAAAAAAAGAATCCAATTTTGTGTAGGCATCAGTATGCCCAGACCCATATAATAACACATGAGTTGTCTAAGCCACTGCTAATTCCATTGCCCTTCATCCATTTCCGATATAGTACTAAGTACGTGGCAAATTCTATCCAACAGAATATGAAGAGGCCATGTTGGTGGGTCAGAAGAGGTAAAAGGTCCCTTGGAAATCATGCTTTTTGCTGAAATCAAAAAGGAGACATTCAATGAGAAAAAAAAAAAAATCTCTGCAGCCCCATTCTTTCCTTTCTGGAGGTGACTGAGTGTGATGTTTGTGAAGCGTGAGGCCATCTTGCAATAGTTAGGAGAGCCATGGCAAAGAAGATGGCGTTGCATAGAGTACCTCCAGACTCCTGGTTTGGTGATATTCAAAGCTCCTATCATGGAAGTCACTGTTATTTGGATATTGATTGCTAGTAGCTATTTCATTGTAAAAATAATCACCACTGCATCATCTGTGACACCATCATCTGTGGCCTGTACCATGGGGCTGTTGGGGCGACTACGTTATATTCTTTTGAAATGAAATAGTGTGGCCTTTTTCCATCCTGTCATTCCACTATAAGTCTAGCTAGGAAACAATTTGCTCATATTTAATATCTGCTGTTATAATCACAAAGGCTTGGAGTAACAGGCTATGCCATAAAGTCATAGGTCTGATCCACATGGTCGCTAATAACTCCTCAGAAAGCTAAAGGCCAAAGGAAACATAAATTGTACATTCTGTTTGCTCCACATTTACAATAGTCATAAATCCCTGGGTTATTTAATAGAACTTCCAAAATAATAGAACAGAAATACTAATGGGGAAACATAGAAAAGGTAATAGTTGAGAATTTTCCACAATGAAAGGAACAAATGACTCCTGAAATTAAGAGTACTCTGGCTACTGAATAAGATAAGTAAATAAAAATGTGTCCACACTTACATAGGTTACAGTGACACTGCAAATTATAAAGAATTAAAAAGAAGATATTCCAAACTTTTAGAAAGAAAACAGATTTACTTGCAGGATAATAATTCTAATGAAATCAGTTTTCTCAGCAATTGTATTGTTTAAAGACGAAGAAAAATATCCACCTTACTATTAAAAATCTCTTTCTTGGGGGCCGGCGCCATGGCACAGTAGGTTAATCCTCCGCCTGTGGCACCCGCATCCCATATGGGCGCTGGTTCTAGTCCCAGCTGCTCCTGTTCCAGTCCAGCTCTCTGCTATGGCCTGGAAAAGCAGTAGAAAATGGTCCCAGTCCTTG